CTGCCTTGGCCTTCTGTGACTTGGCCAGTGTGGCTTGAGCACTTGCCAGGGAAGACTGGGGCCAAAAAGTCACTGAGTACCTCAGCCTTCTCCACATCCCAGGTAATCAGGCCTCCCATTTCCTTCTGGAGAGGGTCCACCTTTTCCCTAGTCTTCCTTTTGTCACTGACCTACCTACAGAAGCTTTTCTTGTTGCCTTTAACATCTCTGGCCAGATAGGGATGCTTCAGAGAAAGGACAGATTCAGGGAGACTGTTGCAAAAGGATGTTGCCACCTCAAGAGGTGTCTGAGAGGGGCAGTTCCTTGGAGGGGCCACGCAGGCTGGCAGTCTGTGGTGCTGCCCCCACCTTGTCCTTGTTGTCTTGCTGTCTTGGTCCTTTTTTGTGCAGTTGCAGCTATGCTTGTAGGGGGTGGAGGGGACAGGGATGGTGCCACACCACCCCAGATGAGCCCTGCCTGGAGTGTGACTCGAGCAGCCCTCTTCATTACTAAATCTTTTCACTCACCCTTTAAGCAGGGTTTGCAGCAGGGGGGGATCTTGACCCGTGTAAAGAGAGCATGGATGTTTTGTGCCTCAACAGCAGCGAGTCCAAGTGTAAACCATGTGTGATCTGAATATCATCCAGTTACACCTTGGAAACCCTAATAAAGCTGCCTCTGAACCACATATGTGAAGCAGAAGCCAGGACCAGGAGACAGAGGCACCTTTTTTACTCCTTGGGAGCACCCGCCGGGGTAAGTGACATCTGGCTGGGGCACCGCCAGTTCATCAAGCCAAAGGCTCAAGCCCTCCAAAAGGCACATCTACTTTTAAAGGCTGTGTGTACAAAGTGGTGTGTGTTGGCCTCGGTAAACAACTGAGCAGAGTCAGCAAAGCAGAGGTGTGCCACGCCTGATGTGCCACCCGTGGTCTCGGGGATAATCGGCTGGTGCTGCCCTTAGCTGGTCAAAATGCTCCTGTAAGGCAAATGATGGAGAAGCATCGTCTGGCGCTGTATTGCCAGGATTTGGCCCAGCTGGTGAACTGCTGAAGGGTTTGATAAGATGGGATCGTTCTTCCAAGTCATTCTGTCCACATTGCACAGCATATAATGGACTAAGCAGATTCAGGAGTGTTAATCCAGCTAAAGGAAGGCAGCAATCTCACGGAGCTGCGTATCCTCTTTGATGAATACCATCTTTTGTCACCTTTCAGGAATGGGCCTGAGCTGTGCCTTAGATTGCATCAGGCTTTTACCGTGATTTCTGAAAGCTCAGCTTTTGTAGATTCACTTCTACATGACAAGTCCTTGAAAAGTGCAGTAGTCAGCAATTTTACAGCAAAGCGATTTTTCCAACAAGTATTAATGTAACTGGAGGGGGATGTGTGCTGGAGCTTAGGAAACACATTTGAAATACCCAGGGACAATACGTATGACAAGGATGATGGAAAGGCAGGAACAGGTTCATCACCTGGATGTCAGAGCCCATCTTTTTGCTGGCTGGAGAAGCTGGTTGCTTTTTTAAAATAGAAATCAAAAGGTGGGTGCTCATCAGTGTGAGATTCTGATCATTAGATGTCTCAGCGATGTGCGATCAAACCCTGCGATGCACCAGTGACCTCATCTGACCACTCTTGGAGCGGGTCATCACGGAGGAAGCTCCCAGCCCCCTCTTCTACAAGACCAAACATCCTGTGGGCATCTCTGGGTGTGAGTGCTCTTGCTGCCTCCTTCTAAATGGCTGCATTCTTGTCATGGCCGGCTTCCTCAGGTAGCCGCTGCTTGCCAACATCAATCAAGTCACTCAGGAGTGAACCGTGGTAAAACAGGGTTAAGGTGATGCTTAGCAGAGCAGGGTAGGAAATGATCAGTCATGGAAGTCCCAACTGATGTACAAGAAGGAGTGGGGCTGATGTGGAAAGGCTGTTGCAGTGGGAGAAACTGTGCCTACCTCAGAATAGCCATGGAGATAGCCTAGGGGATAACCTACAGGATAGCCTAGAGGGTAGTCTCCAGGACAGCTTATGGGATAGACTGTAACATAGCCTAGGGAATAGCTTACAGGATAGCCCTACAGTGGCAAGGGCTCTCTCTCCTGGAAGGCTTCAAGTGCTTGCTCCAAGCTGGCAGAGGAAGGATGTGAAGCAAGGGCTTGCACCTCTCAAATAGTCACCTTGCCGCTGGCTCTGAGGGCATTAGGAGCACTGCAGACTTTGGTCCGAAAGGCCAGCCTGGGTCTGACTCCCAGACTGGGTCCAGGACCCGCTCAGCCTTGCCGGCTCTTACAAATCCCCTCGGCACAGCGGAGGAGCCCTGCCTGTGTGTTGCAGGGTGCAGCCGAGGCTGCGCATCATGCAGTAGCCACCTTGGCCTCCTCTGCAGGGCAGTTGTGTCCCACTCAAGTTGCAGCAAGGTCCATGGGGTGAGCAGGGAAAGCAGCACCCACCCTGCTGCCACAAGTCCAATTCTTCCAGACTGCAGCTCAAGAGAGGCTGGGAAATGTTTTTCGCAGCTCTTTCATCAGAAGCCTCAGACATCACCGAGAAGTAACACTCGCAGGACAAGCGTTTTCCAGCCACTGTGCACGTTTGCAGCCATCAGGCAGCCTCTGCCCTGCCACGGTGGGGGAGCCGTTCCCTCCAAAGCTCGCTCCCATCCATGACCCAGCATCACCCGTCACCGCTTCAGCTCCCCACAGGCGCAGGCACTGCAGCACAGCACAGATACGCACCAGATGGCATTTGGCATCCGCTCGGAGAATCGACCATCGGATGCTTTGCTCCCTACTGGTTTTCAGCTGTGCCTTCCTGTGGGAGACGCCTTTGCCAGGATACTTCATGTTCCCTTAAATAACAAATTCCTTTGCTCCGGGGGTGGCATGGGTGGCGTTGGGCGAGAGCATGGGCTTTTTGCTTTCTTCATGCTTCTGGAGCTTACAGGGAAAAAATAGCTGCTTCTTTTTCTTTCCATCCTTGTAATGATAACAGGAGGGATGTGGAATTTGGGCTGAGACAGTCCGAGCCCCAGCTGGGGCAAGTGTCTGAAAGGACGTTTCGAGCACTGGGCACAGCCGGGAGCCTGCCACACGGCTTGCAGGGTGTGGGCAGCTCACTAGGAGGGTCGGCACTAATTAGTAATTATGGTCCTATTGCAGCATAAAAACAAATGACATCTCTCAGCACCCTGAGGAAAGAGGGGTTTTTTCCCCCCTCCCCAGACTCCCGCCGGGAGATAAGTGCCACTTGGTCTTGTGTGCCACAGAAGCTGCTCAGCCCCAGGGTCAGAGCTACAGTGCGGATGCCCAGCAGCTCTCAGCCCCAAAGCCAAGAGGGGTTGTTGCCATGGGAATCGAGAGGACACTTGCAGACAGCATCTGGAGACTGTCTTTCCCTCTCCGAGGCAGCTGGATTTGGAGGGAAGCAAAACTAAAAGGAGGTGGCAGAGAGAAACAGAGGCACAGCAAAATGCATGCACGTTAGAGGAGGGACCTTCCCAGAATGAGAGTACAGTGGGATACAGACAGAGCGGGGACACCAAACTGTCAGGCAGTGGTGGCTCGGCTTGGTAGGATAAATCTTATTTTCTGCTCTGTTTCACACTGGAAAAAGGTCCAGTGAAAGCCCAACTGTAACAAGATGGGATCTGCCTCCTCAACTTACCGGCCCAAGTGTATTTATTTGGATATTGATGGAAGAATTCAAAAGGTACTTTTGCCGTTTTTCACAAAGCAGTGTCTCCAGCGGCTGCGGGCTCTGTTTGCTGCACGACCTATTTCTGTAACGCGAGTTAGACCTGTGTTTGCATTCAGCGCCGTTGCGGGATTCAAACTTTTTTTTTTTTTTAAGAGGGTGGGGGAATCTTGAGCGGCTTCTGCTTTGTACACGGATGTTTATTTAAAGGGGAAGGGGACGCTGGCAGCAGGGGAGGGCTGAGCGCTGCCAGCTCCCGCTGCCTGACTGGGGATCCTTGGCTCAGTAGCCGCGCAGGCTTCCTCTCCTGGAGCAGCATCGCGGCGTGTTTACAAAGTTTGGACTGCCGAGAGGTTTTCACCCAAGCAGTGGGAGCCGGAAAGCACGGCGTGCTGAGTTATTGGGAGATTGCCTGTCGGGTGGGGGGTTTAGCGATGGGCATTTTCCTACCTCCAAGCTGAACGGCAGGCTGTTGTGCCATGGCGTGTTGCCGCTGCGTCGCCGGGGGCTGCGGGGTCCCCGCTACCTTTGCCAAGTTGTTCATAAATGGCCTTAATTAAAACTTTCACTTCCATTAGCCTGCCTTGTTTGCTTAACCACGGTTCACAGCACAGGGGGAACTGTGGGAGAAATGTGTTCTGGCTAAAAGGGAGAGCTCGCACGCTGCCGAGCTGACAGCCCACTGCTTTTAAACAGGAACAGTGCCGCTGCGTTTTTGTAAGTCGCCTTTTTCTTCTTTTCTTTGGCCACGAACCAAGTGGCTTTTTTCTGTGATAGAGTGAAAGCGGCCGCGAGGCTGAAGAGCAAGTAAACTCTGACTTGCAACATTCAAATCTCTCTGCCTCTCATCTTTCAGCTCTAAATCATTTCACCCAGCCTCGCCTTTTGTTTCTCCTTTAAAAAGGGACAGCAGAGATACCCTTTCCCTTCCCCTCCCCTTTGCTATATGAATGACCACAGAAAGGAGGTACGGAGAGAGCTGATCCTCACAGTCCCGTCCCACCACGCACGCCGCTGTCGCCTATGGTCCCGTCCCCCCCCCCCCAGACCCACCGCCAGAGTCCTGTCCTCTGGAACAAGGCCTTGGAGAATCCAAATCTGTACCAGGTCCCCCACCACAGGCTGCTCCTCTTCATCCACCTCCGGGCTTAGACGTGACGGTGGTCCCTCTGTGCCCTCCCCCAGTGTGCGGGAGCATGCTGGCTCTGCCGAGCTGGAGATTCCGCTTCTCTTTCGCTGGGGCTTAACGAGTTGGTGGCCTGGCAGCCCCCAGAAGCAAGGCTGGTACGCAGCTCCCGGACACCTTTACCGTTCAGTACGACATGTTTCAGTATTTTGAAAGAGTGATGAGTGTTTCCATAGATTCTGGTAAAGCTCATCGTCTGTCATCTACACTGTTGTGTTTTGTTTGGTTTTTTTTTTTAAATAGCAATTCTCAACACCAGTCTCTGGAAAGTGATTCTGACACTAAAAACACAGAGGAGGCACAATCCCATGAGCAAGCAGATGCAAACTCAGGCGGCATTTAAGGGGTTGGGGTTTTGGGGTTTTTTTTCCCCTCTCAAAAAACCATTATCTGTTTCTTTTGTCAGATGTGAAATTCCATTTGTGCAATGTTTGGAAGGATTCCTGCAGTAAAAATGCTGTGTAAATGGGGTTCACCCAGGGGTAAGCAGGGCATAGCTCAGATTCTCATGCCTCCTCAGTAACGACACCATTAGAAAGAAAGAAAAAAATCCAACCCTTAATCTTCCAAGGAATGCAGTTATTGGAGGCTTCTAAAGGGAACTCATTAAATCAATGCTAAGCCACTCGTCAACCCAGTAACGAGGTTTGAGCTTCATTGTAACAGTGCTCATTGAGTTTGAAAGGGCTCAGCCCCAACCTGCATTTTGCTGAACCACCGCAGAGTCGTGCAACAGAACTGGGCATCCTACGATAGCGCTAGCTGTGCTGGCAATTATTCCCAGGGAATTCTGTGTTTCCACAGCCTCATTCTGAATTTCCACCGTTGCAGCCACAGGGCGTGCTACCGACTTTGGGAGAAGCTGTTCTGCCTCGGCACTGGGGTAGATGAAGGGACGAGCCAGGGTCAGAGAGCCACACGCCGCCTCCCCCGGGAGCCTGCGTGTTGCCTCCGAGCACTTGAAAGTGCCCTGCAACAGGCCCGTTGAATTAAGCTAAGTGGGTTTGTGTGTCGGCAGGTCCAGAGGGGCGCAGTGGGAAGGGCAAAGGGATGTGGCGATTGCCGGAGGTGAGTTTGCTGGCTTTGAAACCCTTAGTGGTAGCTGCTGAAATAAAGGAGGCACCATCAGCAGGGGTTGAACGTGGGACTGTGCCCGCAGCTGGCAGAGGAAGGGCTGAGGTTCGTACCTGCATGGCCCATACCATGAACACCAGGTAGAGTCCAGGAGCCTCCCGCAGAAGGGTGGTGGGAGGCTGAGTGCAGAGGGCAGCCCCGCTCTTTGCTGTGTGCATCACTCCCACATCACACCAGGGAAGCCTAGCCCTCCCCTCAGTAACTTCCTTGGCTCCTGCCCTTTCCCCTCAGCCCCATCCTGCTTGCACCCGCAAAGGCTCTCGGTCGTTCGTCACAGCTTGATAAACTGACCTTTCAGAACCACGGGCAAGGGATGGGGGTCTCCCATGGGGTGGCTGCCTACATGAACATGAAGCAGGAGGTGGAGGGGACAGCCATGCCGGGGCTGCTGGAGGGGGAAGATCGAAGGCTTTGCAGTGTTAGAGGCACACACCTTCCTCTGCGCTTGGGGCTTAGCACACCCCTGAAACACACCCGTGTCCCACCCCAGCCACAGCCTGGTCTGCTGCCAGGCAAGGAGAAGACGGTAGGACGGGGGGAAGCTGTCTCCATGTTTTGTGTAGAATAAGGTGACCATGCAGTGACACTCTGGATGGGGCTTTCTCGTTCCTGGAGTGCCACTAGGTAGGGACAAGCACCCAAACCCCCAGCCTGCCACTGGAGAAGTGAGGTTTGCTCTGCCAAACTTAAGCCAGATCTGGTCGTACTTTCCTTCATAGCGTTATTAACCCTTTGGCTGTGTTTTTCAGAAAAATTCATGTGGAGCCTGTTTCAAATTAAAAATCCACCAGCAAGAAAATGTTCTCCAGCCCATGCCCAATTTTTTTTCCATGAAAATATGGGGAACATATTTTTTTGACCTTTGAGATTTAAATGGTAGCAGAGCCAAACCACCCAGTGGTTCTATTCCCAGACGGGTGAGTTCATGGTTCTTATTTTCAAATGTCACAGGTAGTGTCTTTGCTCACAGAGCTGTAAGGAGTTCCTCTGAGAAAAATGCTTAATTCAAGAGGATTTCTGTTTCCAGTGTCTTAATCAGCATCACATTTGTGACAAGGATGGAAAGTCAGAGGGGTTCACAGCTCGAGCTAACTGGAAAAAAGAACCACTGCCTTTGTCAAGGATTCAAGGAAATCACCCAGGGTGGTATTTTCTTCCTCTTCAGAAAGCAAGTAAAGAATTTTGGAGCCATTTTGCTGGTTGACTGAGTCATTATGGATGCCAAGCAGAGAAATGATCTTTCTCTTTTCCTTAAAGAAATGTATTGAGTTCAGCCTTTCTGGGTGTCTACTGTACTGACCTGTGAAGCAGGACATCGATGCATCCATAGCCGTTGTTCCTCTTGGCTCGAGGTCCACAATGAACAGAGCAAAGCTAAAACAGCATTTTGGTGCTGTGGTTATTGCACTGAAATGTCAGCGCATAGGAATCGTTTCTGTCATGTGAACTTTTCTTTTTAATTAGAGCAACAGCAACTGTGGTATAAATGCTTAGATTCTAGCAAACCCAACAGATTTTTCCAAAGCTTGCCATGCTATTTTTAACATGCCAAAATGGATTCAGATTAAAAACAAAGCACAGCAGAAAAATACTGGTGTGATGTTCAGTTCAAGGCTATTAAATATTTTTGCATCGCCATGACTCTCTTAGCACAGCAGGGCAAGCATGCTCTGCACTGTCCATGGAGCCAATTCCCTGTCTATCTGGACAGGGAATTTAGGGGATTAGGGCCCTTTCAGGTGCCACCCATTGGAGGGGTGCATGGGCAGTTGGGACATGGACGACCCCAGGGTTCACATCGCCTGCATGGTGTTCTATGAATGTTCTTCCTGCACATGAGGATGCCAGAACCCTCTTCAACATGGTGAGGCATAAGTATGTTTTTGTGGGATCAAGAGCATTTTCTTAGTGCTGGCATACCTCTGTGGGCAAGGGAAGGTGCAAGGTAGCACAGCCGGAGTCTGACCAGTGGTCTCAGCTCATCTTTTCTCTCTGAATTCAGCTGGCCCCTGTGAATTCAAGGTGGCTGCTAGATGCTCTCATTTTAAAACAGCAAGAAGTGAACAGTGGGTTCCTAAAACTCCATCACATTACAGCACATAAACATTTTAAAACCAGGCTTTTAAAAAAGTGAGAGAAAATATCACAGCTGAGGCCTGCCTCTCTCCTACTCCCTCTTCTCTTTTCCTTCTCAGCAAGGGTTCCTCAGAGCATTTAGAGAGTCAAACCATAATCCTAGCACACCTCCTTAATGCCAGCGTAGCTCCAGGATTCTTCAGTACCCATCACCCTAAAAGGCTTGTTTACTGCTGTTTATCTTTCTGAAGCCACATGTGGTCTATTACAGTTACTGCAGTTTATGTTCATGTTAGCCAAGACAAAGTGTGGGTCTAACACTGTCCTGCTGGCCTTACCTATGGATTCAGTCAAGGTAACTGTAGCAACTTATGCTTCTCACACACAAACTCTTTTGGCTTAACACAAACAAGACAAAACTATTTTATTTCTTTCTAGTGAGCTTACTTCCTACAGCTGCAAGTTGGCCTTGGGGGTTGGAACTAGATGATCTTTAAGGTCCCTTCCAGCTCAAATGATTCTATGATTCTTTCACTGGCCTCTCACCATACCTGCTTTTCCTTACTCTGTTAACTAACATTACCCTTCTGACAGCCCTATATTGTCAAGTGTGTGGGAA